GGTATATATGTATGTATGTATGTATGTATGTATGTATGTATGTATGTATGTATGTATGTATGTATGTATATATATCTTCTACTTCTATTGATACTGAGAATCAATATTTGAGATGAGTTTGGGCTTCAGTACATATAAATAAACTACAGAGATCTACTGTTAAAGTACAGATGGATAATTGCCCTTTAAGTTAAAGGTTTCTCTATTTGCTATCTTGATAGTTATTTTTTTCCTACAGTATTCCATTACTAGCTGGTCTTGTATACTTTTAATGATACCTTTTCCTCTCAACCTGTTTGTTCAGATGTCTCTATCTTTCAAATGGATTAGTAGCTAATTTTCGTTCGTTGAAATATATCCAGTTTGATTACATTTTGCTTAACAGGTTAACAACTAGAGGTGCACTTAAGAACTTCAACTGAAATTGAATAAAAGGATAATCTAGTTTATGTCTGTGAATTCAGAAATCTTACATTTCATCATCATAATCCTTGGGAGGGGACACTGCAATGACCAAGTCAATCCAATCCTGTGGAAGAAATGTTTAATTAATGTAATATGTAAATGATCAGAGAATGAAAAATTACATCTTCAGAGTATGGTTTCATTATATAACCTTTCATTAATCAGGTTGCTTGTTATGAAAACGTGTTATAGAAAACAGTGAGCATACCCACTGCTTTTCCCCTTTTGGAATAAGCAATATTATGGAAAAATATAAATTTTTGTTGGTGAAATATAAATTCAACACAAAAATAGTTTGTTGTGAAAATGATTGCCTGCAAAGGCTCCTGGATTGCGGCTGAAAGGCGAAAGTGGAAGCAGTATGCTCCATCCCATAGTTGGGTAGACCAAGTTGTTCTGATAGACCAGACTCACTGGAAAAAATCATTATGAGAAGTACAAAAAGATTAACTGTGCCAGATTAATTCAGTTATGAGGCAATAAAAATAAAAGGGAATTATATAGATAACTCTTCACACCATTCATTCATTCATTCATTCATTCATTCATTCATTCATTCATATCCTGCCTTTGTTATTTTCACAAATAACTCAAAACAGCAAACACATTCAACACATCTCCCTCCTCCTTATTTTCCCACAACAACCTGTGAGGTAAGTCGGGCAGAGAGAGAGTAACTGGCCCAAAGTCACTAACTGGCTTTCATGGCCAAAGTGGGATTTGAATTCATGGTTTCTTGCTTTCTAGCCTGGTGCTTTAACCATTAGACCAAACTGGCTCTCAAACTGGCTTTTTGACCACATCCACACATAGCTTCATACATTGCTTTTTCTTTTTTTCTTTATTTCTTTCTTCCTTTCTTTCTCTTTCTCTCTCTCTCTCTCTCTCTCTCTCTCTCTCTCTCTCTCTCTCTGTGTGTGTGTGTGTGTGTGTGTGTGTGTGTGTGTGTGTGTGTGTG